CCCTCTCCACCCCTTCACACTGACAACACATGCTCTTTTCTCTCTCGCTCCCACTGCCCCGCTATGTCCGCTCGCCCTCGCCTGATCAGCCGTCCAGTCCACCCACGCACACGGGGTGCACCCCTCTCTCCTTACGAGGGATTATACTTTGTTTGTTCCAAGTGGGGAGTGCAACCGATAAGTATGGTATACTCTGCTTCCAATACAAGTTGTCCGAGTTCAATCTACTCATCATCAGCATGGGTAGGTACATAGATTTTACCGTCCTCCAAATGCCTTCGAAGTCGAAGTATCTTCATCTTACCTTGCAGCTGCGAGATGAACGTATCGAGCGCCGCGCTTCCTTCCATTGGTCCACTGTGCCGCACTGTGCTGTTCAAGACAAGCTCCCTAAAAGTCGAGGATAAAGCGGGAAGATTCCTATCGAAATGACTAAAGCGGACATGGTGACACAAAACTCCTTTACTTTGTCTGACGAACAAGTATCATTACAAACAAATGTGACGACGATGGCCGGCCGTCACACAACGACCTGCGCCCCCTGCGCCAGGGCTGGGCGTGTGCGCACGCGCGCCTACGCGGCCGTTGAATAACACGAATACGGGGGGTATTCACCCGCAATATTACGTCTACACGCGTGTTGCGAGGCACTGTGCAATACCAGCGCAATGCATTGAACACGCCGCGCAATACACGCCATAGTGTGTAAATAGCCAGTGAATACCCGCTGTGCACAAACGTGAACGGAGACAAGGTAGGGACGTGTCCGGTCCAGCCCGGCGGCCGTGAGCCTTGCCTGACCCCCAGCCACGAGGACCAGGCAGGCGCGGGGAGCGGCGGGCGGCCCGATCGGGAAACAACGGGAAACCGAATCGGCACAGGAAGACACTCAGCTGCGCGGCGGCGCCGGGGTGCGGGCGCGCTCAGTGGCGACCCCGCACGTGATCCCACCCGCACCCTGACCCCTCGCTACTCGGACTGAACTGAAATGGCGGTAGGTGTTGAACGCGGGGGGCGCCAGCCGACACGCGTGAAAAAATTGATTGTGGGCACAGAGGAGCCCCAGATCGTCCGTGTCCTCGCGCGCCGTGCACTATGGGGTCCACTCCCACGGGTGGGGGTCGCGGGTGGAGATGGTGAAGATGATTGCGCTGATGGTGGTGACGACGGCGGAGGCGAGGGTGGGGCGTTACATCCCCTGAGGCCGCTTCGTCCTGCTGGCGTCCTGGGCCTCCTGCCGGGCAGATTCGCCCTCCGTCGAGTCGTCCTCGTCCACGTACGACCGACCGAAGCGCACGAAGTTGCTGCCCGAGCTGCTGCTGCCGCCCCCTCTGCCGAAGCGCATGTAGTTGTCCTTGGCCCTCTTGTCGTCGCCGGCGTCCGAGCGTCCAAAGCGCATGTAGTTGTCCTTCTCCTGCTTGGCCCTGCCGTCCCGCAGAACCTCTGAGTCGGCGTCCTCCGCTGCCACCTCCTCCTCCAGCTCGCCCGCCCGTCCGAAGCGCACGAAGTTGCTGCCAGGGTCCCTGCCGAACCGCACGAAGTTGCTCGGGTCTCTGCCGAAGCGCATGTAGTTGTCCTTGCCAGCGCGGCCGAATCGCATGTAGTTGTCTTTGCTGGAGCGGCCGAAACGCACAAAGTTGCTCGGCTCACGTCCAAAGCGGACAAAGTTGCTCTGGCGATCGGGGCGGCCGAAGCGCACGAAGTTGTCGTCCTGGCCGCCAGCGCGGCCGAAGCGCATGTAGTTGTCCTTGGAGCGGCCGAAGCGGATGAAGCCGTTGCTGTTGTGGTCCCCGCCGCGGGCCACGCGCTCTCCCTCGGCGGCGGAACCCATGGTCCCCAGGGCCGCGCCCGAGCGGCCGAAGCGCATGAAGTTGTCGGCGCGCGCCGGGCGGAGGGCGCCGTCGTCCTGGACGCCCTTGGCATCGGACGCGGCCGGCGCCGCGGGCGCGCTCCTGCCGAAGCGCATGAAGTTGTTCTCCAGCGCCGACCGCCGGCTCAGCATCCCCGTCGCGATCAGCGACACGGGTACGGACCGCTCCGCGCGCCTCGGCAGCAGCAGCAGGGCGTTCTCGTCACACCTGCGACAAAGGGTCAGAACGGTGTCAGTCAGAAGGGCGTCTAAACATCGTCAGAGCGGCGTCAGAACGGCTTCAGCACCACGACGAACGCGCGCTACATCTGGTGCGGCGGAATACTCACCCATGGTGGCAGGGGTCGGTGTCCGCCAGGACGTCATCCTGGGCTGCGCAGTAGGCCGCGGCCAGCAGTACGCAGTACAACGTCGTCCAGTGCCCCATCCTGAGGAGGGACAGAGAAGGAGGTCGTCAACGGATCGTCGTGTGATGTATGCGACTGCAGGAGCTCTCATCGTGTTTCCCATTGTCACGAGGGTAGGGAGGGAGTTCACACTCCAGTGTAATGTGGCCTACTGGATCGTTGGGGAACGTTTTCAAGCAACTCAAAAGGAAAATTAAAGCGTGTTTGCGTAGGGAGTGTTGGGACCGCCAATTTCAAATGATGATATAGCCGCTCGTCCGCGGGAGGACGGGAGGTAGAAGGGTGCCCCCCCCCCTCTCCCGCTCCCTGCCCCTCACCGTCTCTAGCTCGCCACCAGTCAAAGTTAAATCAGAGTAGAAGACGAGGGAGGAGGGCGGGGCTGGGTGGCCGCGGCCCCGGGAACTGGGACTGTGGGACTGCCCGGGACTCCCTAACCTCGTTAACAGTCCACCGGAGCCCCTCCTTGGCAGGCAGCTGGAGAAGCTCGTGTGGACTGTGACATGGTGTGGTGCAATAAACCATTTCGCTGGAATCGCGATACTCTCGAAAAACAAATGCACCCCAAGTCATATAAACCCGCCCCCAGGAGCTTTACTAGCCACACGGTAAAAACGACGTCCAGGTTTTCATGACGTTTTGAAAACCATGACGTTTGCCATGCATTTCTTCCATAATACGTCATGGTTTTTCCAAAACGTCATGAAAACTAGGACGCCGATTTTACCGTGCAAAATGTATAAGCGTAAAGAATAAAGTCCCAGGAGAAATAATTTGTCACTTCACTTAACAGATTCTAGGCCTCAGTGTAGGCTAAATTTTGATTTGAAATAGCCGACTTCCGGTGCATTTGTTTTTCGAGAGGTACGAGCGGAATGGTCTTTACATCACACGAGAATGATGGGATGATCTAATCTTAACTAACGTTCCAAGATTCCAATGACATTTCCTTCGCCTTTTCTACTCCTAATTTATAACTAGGAAGGATAAACCATTGAAGTTATTGCTCAATGGAATTTTATTTTTCAGTAGAATGGACCACGAACAGAGCGTAACGTCTCTTCTCGACTTTTCCAATCGTGCAGAAAATGCGTGCGTTTTACTTAGATTCGTTCAGCAATCTAAAGAAGCTCGGCGCCTGCGGCACTCTGGGTAGGCTGGCCCGCAGTACACGCATGCACTGCAGGCAAGATGTTGCCTACCATCAGGCGCTCTGAGAGCTTGCAGAGGCACCTACGTAACGGCGAGTGACGGGCGTACCGTACATGATGGATGATCCGCCTCCATTGTATCCAAAATAACCAATTATTTGTGTTTGTTCGCGATTCATATACAATGACGCAAAGAAGGGGTATCTCTCCCGCAGTGGTGGGGAGGGGGAAATCTTGCCGGAGGCGGTGGTGGGGCTGGCGAGCCGAGACAAGCTGCTGCTGCGGCCTGGAATTTAACGCCCTGGATAATGATGGCAATCCAGTCCAGCCCGACCGTTAATTAGGAGGGATGATGTAACATGATGTGGTGTGCCGCTGGGGTGGGGAGGGGGGCGGGGGGATTTTAGTACTCTTACAGATGACACACACACACACACACACACACACAAGCGCGCTCAAGACGTAAGGGCGTCAGGCTGTGTTGCGTACGACGACACCACAGTCGCAGTAGCCCCTGGCCCCTGGCCCTGGCCCACGCCGCACGCGTAATCAAAACAAGATTCCTGTCCTGGTCTTAGCAAATAATATTAGCTGAGTCGACGAAACCCTTTTTTTTCGCGGCGCGGCGCGGCGCCCTCCTCGGCGAGACATGATGAAGCCTTGCATGAAGTAGGGCGTAATCGGCACAGTAGTTGGGAGAGGCGTCTGGTGGTGGGCGCGCGATTCAGAGGCGGGCAGAGAAGATCAGCTAAGTGGCGCTTCGCGTGCGCACGCCGCTCATCGGCATATCGAAAAGGAAAGCGGGAGGAGAACCGCTCGGGTGAGATTGTTGGAGTACAAAAGCAGCAAGGTCGTTGTTTTCAACCCTTTCACCCGCTCATTCTGGTTGCAGTGCCACCGTCGTCGCTAGGCGCGCCCGTTCCCCTCCCCACCCCCCGCTCCTGATGTGCACGCCTGCGTCTCTGGTCTCTGTGCCTGCTGCTGGCGTCCCTCGTGGACCCTTACCTACCAGTCTGCCGTGAAACTCCTGCGGCCTCCCCAGCCCAGCTGCCCCCTCTCCCCCCCCCCTCTCCCCACGCGCCGGCTCCCCACTGCGCTCATGCCACTACAGCTTTGCCTGCTGATAGTAGACTTGCTTGGACAATAGAATAACTATTTCAGGTTCGGTGATTGGAAGGGTGAAAAGAGCAACGATACCCACACGCGTCCCTGTTTTGTTTGTCGTTGTCAATACTACTTTCTTCTTCTAGTCAGTCAACCTTAAGAAGTCTAACTGGCGTTCTAACTTAAGCGACAGATAATAAAACGCACAGAAATATCCCCCTCTTTGGTGTAAAGGGCAGAGGTGGCGTGGGGCGCGGCAAGCTGATGCCGACTGCTGTCGAACCTGCGGCTCCCCCGCCCCTGCCGCGCCCGTGCTTGCATAAAGGACGTCTTCTGAACGGATCGCGAAGGCTAACAAGCGGCATGACAACGTGTGTCTTTATTCGCATTCCTCTTCCTCTCCAGCAACGGCGGGGACAAAACGACAAAGCCGTGGGGGCGCCCTGCTGAGTCGTTAAGAAGAAAGGGAAGTCGGCCGGGTCCCCGTGGCGGGGCGTGCAGGGCGGGTGGGGGCGGCGTGGGCGAGTGGCGACCGCGAGGGGCTGGGGGGCTCTGTGCCGCTTTGGGGTCGAACGCGAATAATGTCAGACTTAGGACTGAGGTAAACGTATAGTATTGTTTTCATCGGTCACTCCTTTGAACTCGAGGGTTTTATTTCCAGACGTTTGGAAGGTAAGGATCACTGTGAAAAATTGTCGTACCGGGTACAGGAAAATTTTCCATGGAAGAAGTCGTACAAGTACAATCTAAAATTGTAAAATTTACTAGCCCTATGTATCGACTTGGAATCGAATATCGAGCGATAGTGGGAGGTTGTACATGTACGACTCGTATTGTAAATGGCAAATTACAAAATATATCGTACATGTACAAATATATTTTTCACAGTGATGAGTATGTGCTCGTTTTTAATTCTTTCTATTATCAGTCTTCAGTTACAGTCTCCTAAAGAAATGGCACTTACCATTTTATAACAATAACGTAATTTTGGTACAGTCCCCATGGAACCACAGATGGCACTGCCCCCGTCGCAGTCCTGAGTGAACCAAGTCACGCGTGCGAGTCTATAAGGCCGAACTGCCACACCGAAGCGCAGGAGACGGGGGAGGTGGGGAGGGAGTGGGTGTAGCACCGAGGGATTTTAAATGAGAGCATGAAGTGCAAGGGCGTGCCCCTGGTGCCGTGGTGGAGCTGCGGGCCAGGTGAGTTTGTGTTCGGCAAAGACGGTTCAACTTGCCTCGGGCACGGCGTCGTCCTCGGCGTCCTTCCTCCTCGGCCCACACAGCGAGGCCGGGCCGGACCCGACTGACCACCACCACCACACCACCCCTGGCGCCGCCCCTACAGTTTTCCACCTCCTGAAGAAAGAAAAAAAAAGTAAAAATAAATAAATGGTTGGAAGAGAAAGAGTGGTAGGAAAAAATCACCTCGGGGAGGGAGAACGGCGACGTGGCACTTGCGTCCACTGCGTCCACGCACGAAACAAATTGGGAGGCGGCATTTCACTTAGGCGGCTGTCAGATGGGAAAAGGGGGGGCGGGGGCGTGAGGGAGACATGTGGGCCCGACGAGATGGTCGCCGCCTGCCCCGCGTATCTCGGACGTGCGCTTGCTTGCCATTTACCACTCTAGCGTGAAACCAGTGAAACTTATCGCTGTCGGCGCTGTTTTAAAACATAATGTCAGAAGAATATCTTCTTGTCTTTGTCTAATAGGTTAGATATTGCGTTTGTTTGCCACGGTTCGCTCGCCGTTCTGCGTATCAGCAGCTCTTAATAAGTAATTACCCTTCTCGCAGGAAGGGGAGGGGGAGGGATGACCGGGCGGGCCACACCGCTAGGGCGAGGAAGGGAGGTCTTTTACGGCGAGGCATCTTATTTCCTCCTGGAAGACTTTAGCAGCAGCGCCAGCCTCCCGCGCGCGCCTCCCAGCACAGCAGGCCAAAGCCGAGCCGCAGCCTGAGCTGAGGGAGGGAGGGTGGGCGTCGTGAGCCTATAGGCGTGTGGTCGCAAACCTGGGCTTGAGCGTGGGCATGGACGTGAGCCCCGGCGTCAGCGTGAGGCGAGCTCGCTGCTAAGGAGCAGTTTGTTCGCGAGTTCGTACCGCCGCCCGGGCCCGGGCCGTCCCCCGAACCCGAACCCAGCATCGGCGGTGGTGGTGTTTTGGGCGTCGTCGGCGGCCATGCGCCGCCCGCAGCCGTCGAGGGTAGGGG